ATGGCATTTGTTCATCGATATACCAGATCGGAATTACTTCTACTCAAACACTCTAACGGATTCACATCACGATTTGATTCAACCACACTCAATTCTCTCGGATTTCGGAATTCACACAAAAAGCACAACCGGGCCGGATGGCAAGTTGCTCTTAACTGCACCCCTCCGTCAAAAATGTCCGTCCCATCACTACTGAGTACGAACATACGTTCATTGTTCACGAAAATCTCGGATTTATCACTTGTTCTCCGCTCCCGGATTCACGTTCATACTTGTCTGATTTGCATACAAGAATCTTGGCTGAACCCTCATGTTGCTGACGCGTTAGTGTCCATTGACGGATTTAACCTGTACCGGCAGGACAGGGAATCATGTGGCAAGAAATCCGGTGGTGGTGTGGTTACCTACGTCAACACTTCGTGGTGTGGCAAGTCAGATGCCGTTTACTCATACTCAAGTAACGGTATTGATTGTTTATCTCTTCAGTGTTACCCTAAATTCTCCCGGCATTGAAGTACCTTCATAGCAAACCTATATATTGCTCCGTTTTGTACGCAAAATACCATCTCGACATTCTTCGACTCATTTTTACCCAATGCTTGAGGACAACCTGCACATTATTGTAGGTGATTTTAACCATGCTTCAACCAGGCCTCTCACTGCTTTTGATCTAACAGATTTATGCGTTTCACCGACCAGAGGTAACTCCGTTTTAGACAGAATTATAACAAATCACCCCGAATTCTTCTCTCTTCATCTCCGTGCACCCGTATCAACCGGTGATCATTGTCTTTCCCTTCTTACACATAAGATATATTCCCGTTCTGCCTTCCATTCATTTTGGGCAAAGTAACCAAATCAAAATCCGTCTTCGAAACACGTCACGTAAGTGTATTCGTCTCCTTCAAACAGTCCTATCCCATGCAGTTTCATGGTTTTCCCTTGAGCCTTCGTTGAACAACAATGTTAATCTTTTTGTTGATCCAATTAATTCCATCTTTGACATCTGTGGCCCGGTGAAAATCCTATTTCTCTCTCCGATGGTCGTATTGCATCTCCGAAGCTCAAAACATTTAGGAGACAGAAGGAACATTTCTATAAATCCCGGAATTCATCAATGGTCAGCTACATTTCCACCTTGATAAAGAAAGAAATCAAGCGTATTGATACAACCTATGGGAATCAACTCCTATGCAGCCAAAACAGGAGACACTTATGGAAAGGAATTCGGATCTTATGTGCAGCGAAGTCCAAACCCGATGAATGTACTGTAGACGTTGAGAGTATAAATCAAGCATTTGTGCACCCGAGTAGTGATCCTCCTGTTTCATGGATTCCGAAAGATGCAGCTGACATAATCCCGTTTTCGAGAGAACAAATATTTAAACTCCTTCCCACAACTAAATCATCCACTGGTATTGGTCCTGACGGTTTATCTTCATCCCTTCTAAAGCATGGTGCCTTGGCTCTAACGGATGCTTTTACTTCTATCCTCAACACGTCACTTAGTTCACATTCTATTCCCGATTGCTAGAGACCCGTCACGATCATTCCCATTCCAAAACCGTGCAGATCCAGCACACTGTCCAAACGATTCCGTCCCATTGCTCTAACGTCATGCGGTCTTGAATTGGCTGAACGTGCCATTCTCAAACGTCTTTCTGCTTCCTTCTGTACCCCTGAAAACCATCTCCAGTTCGCTTATAAATCAAACAGGTCCACTTTGGATGCTGTTGCGTCCCTCGTTCATCACGTTACCAAATCTATAGACGCATCTGCGAAATCTGTAAGATGTGTTTTCTTGGATTTTTCATCAACTTTTGACTCTGTTCCACGTTCCGTCATTCTTCGTAAACCGGAATCATTTGGCTGTCCCAAGCACCTACTGGCGTGGCTCGTCGACTACTTCACAAACAGAACTCAGTAGACTCGGCTCGGTAGGAAAACGTCTAAACCACTCGTGAACAATTCGGGAGTACTACACGGCGCTGTATTGTCTCCGTTCTTGTTTTCCACCTACATCAGTGATCTAACTGCGAGTTCTCCAGCCCATTTATTTAAATATGTTGATGACGTAGCCCTCTGCCAAGCCATTTCTGTGCCTGAGGACCTTTTCCATTTCTCGAATAATCTATTGCATATTCATGAATTTTCCGTTCGTTCTGGACTGTCTTTTAATTTATCCAAGTGCTTTGAATGCACTTTCTCCCTTTCTCGATCTGTTTATCCNTTTATCCTCATGATCCGTCTGTCATAAATACGGATCCCCTAACTAGAGTTGATTCTGTGAAGTATCTGGGAGTTACAATTGACACTAACTTACAGTGGACATCCCATATTTACAACTCTGTACAGCAACTTCGCAAAGTATCTTTTCAACTTCGAAGACTTAAGCAGTTCAATGCCAAGCAAAAAATCATTTCACTGTTTGTTTGTCAATGTGTTTTCCCCGTTCTTCTTTATTGTTCTCCGGTGGTTTTTGCTGTTCTACTAAAGAAAGACTTCATAATTCTTCGTCGCGGTTTGTCGATCATCAGTCGTGTGTGTTTTATACCGATTGATGAGCTATCTAAAAAACTGTGTGAACTTTACTTGTCCACATGTGAAACATTTGCCCAGAAAATCCTCGCTGACCCCAACCATCCTTTACATGGCGGTTTATCTAAATGCTGCTCTCATGCGTCTACACGTTCTTCTTATCGATTATTACCCTCTCGCATTAGTCTCTACAGAAATTCCCTAGTTCTCTATCTTGCCAGACTCCTTGTAAACCGAGAACGGACTTCCTCAGAATTTCTCAGTAACCCTTAAGGCTAAATATTTTACTTGTATCTTTTCTTCTATTGATGAGATGTGTAAATTTTTGGCTGAAATGCGAACACTCAGTTGTCGCAAAAGTCTATACAAATACAAATACACATGAATGTTGATAGAAGAGAGGAGTGGGGGTAGAGAAGAAATCATGGTGGAACCATAAAAACGGTAGAAAAAGGTATTTTTTGATTCCGAGCTTTGTCGTTTTTAGGATTTTGGAGAATTTGCAATTTTTTCTGGATAACGTGAAAAAATGGTTACTGAAAGAAGAAGAAAAAGGTAGTTAACAATCGAAAAGAACTGGTCGACGAATTTCGCGACCACGACGGTCGCGTTTGACCAGTATAGATTTTGGCCTAGGGGGATCTCTCGGGATCTGGGGAGATTGACCTGTAGCAGGAGACAGGGGACGAGGCACTGGATTGCTGGGTTAGATGGAAGGTTCACGCTGAGTGCCGTTGACGATGAACGTTGGGTTGAGGCGGTCTAAGCTAACTCTTTTCAGCTTACCGTTATTCTCAATAATAGTGCACTTATCCTTACGGGTCATCATCCTATGCGGGTCGGTGTACGAAGCTCGCAATGGCGCTCGCGTGCCATCAATGCGAAGAAAGACATGCGTGCAACATGATAATTCGTTGGGTACATAAACGGGGACGTCGCAAAAGTCTGTACAAATACATATACAAATACAAATTTTCTCCCAACATTCCAATCTTCTTTCTATGTTTTTATTCAAATGGGCGGCCAAAAAACAGTAACCAAAATCGGCATATGAAAGTGTGTGGTTAGTGGTTGTAAAAACTGAAATGAACTCAACTGTGGTAAGCTCTCCAGTTGCAACGTTCAGCTGGATGAGACATAGAAGTCCATTTCACGGTAGCAAGTCAATTTACTCAGCCTTTAACTGAGCTTTTTCACAAGGCGGTTCCATTTTCTGTTCCTTTTGGCCAATTGGGATGAACAGGGCAGTATCACAGACTTAGGGTGTGTGAGAGCGAGCGTGTCCCACGTGCAGTACTTGTGATTTAGTAAAGAACGTAATAAATTGTAAGGGAAAATTTTCACAGGGTAATTTCCATTTATTATGCACTATCCAAGCTTCTTCTATTGATCTGGTTATGCTTTGCCAATGCCTAGTAAATTGAAACGATTGTGTTGAAAAAAGGTAAAACATCCACCTCTGATAATTCACCTTTGGAATTGTTTAAAAAAGATTAATTGCTGTATTTATTCAAGTTGGGGATCCATTGCGTAAATATCATCCGGGGTTACAACCTGGTTGGTGGACCACTGGTAGTTCACCTAGGGCAGTTGCCCAAAAACCCTGATTCTAAACCAACCATGAGGAGGCATACGAACCACATACACAACTTCCTGGTTATGGCAGTAGTCACCAACTCGATCGAGCATCGAGATGCATTGGACACTTTGGATAATTGACCCTGTCCAAACAGCGTATGATCCGATGAACTAGGCACCGGTCCCCAATGGATCACGGTTTTCCCCCACTGCCCTGCTGCCTTGCGAACCAAGCTTTGGCTAGTCAAAGACTATAGGTTCTGAATTCCTCAAGAGAATTCACGTGCCTTGGCCTGAGCAACCAAGCAATATTCAATCCTCGTGCAAAATCTTATTTTTCATAAAGATAATTGTACCATGATTTGTTTGGCACACAGTCTGGCCTCAGATGTGTGTAAAAATATAAAAATACATATCCTTTGTTTACTCCTTGATTGTTCTCCTATTAGCCGCTAACATTTGGAATACACAACTGTGTCTAAAATACTATCAAGTATGTTTCAATATTCATCCGTATTAAAATTCTTTATCCGTAAATCGCCTAGCATTCGGGAATGGAAATATGCGTAACCACTTAGTAGTGTACCGCTTGTCTAGGTAGCATTCATCGGAACAAATAGTAGTCATTATTATCTGCAACGCGGGTAGGGATAAGAATCACCAGATATCACTTACTCTGTGTAGACAAATCCGTATGTGCACGGGCCGTAATGTTGTCTAAAATTGTACGTAGTGATACAATAGTAAAACGATTGCCACATATTCAACACATCCTCGAACGGGAATTTCGGTTCCTGATGAAATTGATCCCGGATCCGGAGAAAATTTCCGTATTCCAAATAATGAATCACATTGGCCAATGCTTTTCGAACCTCGGTCACTTTGGTCCGATTAATCGGCTCCTTTCGATACTCGTCAAACATTTGAAACAGACCGTGAAAGCGACCGTAGACAAGATCGGGCGGATCCCGAATCTCCTCGATTGTACGAAATGGTACTTCAGGTAGACTAAAGGGTTNTGAAAAAAAAAACATTTTTAAGTATCGAGATGGCGAGCAAACGAAACTGGCGCAACATGATTCCACATTCGGAATGCATTGAAGAATGGCAAGAATGCTTTAAATACGATCGTAAAAAGTTTCGGAAAATTACATTATCTGTGGTACGTGACATTAAATAACTATCCATGTGCATTAGAGTATAGGAGAACTACAATTTCTATTTTCTAAAGTTTGGAACAGTGAGCAGGTTCCCTCCACGTGGGGCGGGGGGAGAAATTGATTGCCAATTTTACACTATGCGCGAGGAGCAGACATGCGAGGAATCTGCTGG